TTGATACACCCCGGTGTTGGACCGACCAGGGTTATTTTTTTGAAGCGCGGCCGGAGGCCGCCAACGCAAAAAGAAGTTCTACAAGAAAAAAGTAATATTGTCATAGAGGGTATAACATAATACTTAACATCAATGTAATAGTTTATTTCTCTAGGTTTTGGATACCTGTATTTGGGGTATTATCTGTTTTAATTTCTTTCAGTTCAATTACAACAGATGTCGATAAGGTAACACTGGTTATTTGAAATTTTGCAACCCTTTTGTTATTGTCAGAATTAATAGAATTTAACAATATTTTAATTATTGAATTAAACTATTTTTGAACTATATAATGTAAAATAAATGTGTACAAACGAATTAGTGAAGTGTTAGTGGATATAAAAGTGGAAAATATAAGTGTATAACTCATTCGAAATGGGAAAAATGCGTAATTTAAATAGTCGAAATTTTGAACTTTAAACCCAAATATCTCGAAAACTATATGTTTCCCGCGGCTATATCTATATATATTCTTGATCTGGAGGATGTCCTCTATCCGCCCATACCCATTTTATCCCCGAAAGCGTGGGACGTTATACTAAAGTTTTCCCCAAAGAAATACTAAAGACGGGAATTTCCTAATCCACAAGAATGTATTGAATATCCGCTACTAATATTTTCAAGGCCAAATTTATAATAGGAATTTCCTAATCTTTAAGTATTAAAAACTCATAATTTCTTTACTCCGTATTAAAAATTCATAATTTCTTTACTCCATAATCTATATCTTAATTTTCTCCTTATTTACAATTTGTCATAATATTTCTATTATTCTATGCATACGTATTTGCATATTACATACAAAAATAGATAACAGAACTCAAATTTGCGATCGAATTCATTTGAAACCGAGCGCTCTTGCAACCATTCAAAGAATTTGAAAGTGAAAAGGAATGCTGAAAAGGGTGGCAGCGAGCTGTTGCGAACAAGAACACAAAGCGTGCCACCCGAACACGAGTGGCACGGTCCCTTCGTCTTTCCTCGTCGTCCCCTCGCCCACAATAAACTGGTATGAGACTCTTTTGAATCCCTGTGTGAAACGGCACTTGTAGGCTTATACAATGCAACAGAGTCTGTGTATGAACTGGGACTTATTAATAATTTTTTAAAACGAGCTCATGAAAACATGAGATCTACGAGTATAAGTACATATATATGTTCATATAAGCAAGTATAAAAGCAATATCAATACAATACAATACAGTCATACATAAATAAATGAGTCTTCATTATCATTTACATTTACTCTCCTTGTAAGACTGAAAAATATTTGTAACCAAAACTCTATCAATATCGCACTGGAAAGCCAAAAGGTTAAAAATGGTTTTTTCATACATTCACACATGTATGCATATTTTCATTTGTGTGTAAATAAAAGAACAAAGCAAAACTTATGTATTAACGATTTCAACTTAAATAGAACCACAATCCATTTGCCGCAATCAGTACGCGTCAAACGATCCAATTTGACATTTATTGTCGAGTCTTAAATTAAATATTAAAATTAAAAAAGCACGTGGGCCAGTTGCAACATATATACATTAAAATGGCTACTACTAGTAAGTATGAAAAGTATTACTTTTTGTTTAGGTAATGCAAAAAATATTTTTATTTCGCTTTCTTCTCTCAGTTGGGGGCTACAAATTGGGTAAAATCCTCATTGAGGGTAAAACAAAACAGGTTTACGATCTCCCCGATCATCAAGGGTTGTGCCTGTTGCTGAGCAAAGACCGTATTACAGCTGGTGATGGTGTAAAGGCGCATGATTTGCAAGGCAAAGCCAAGATTTCCAACACAACAAATGGACTAGTTTTCGGTATTCTAAACGAGGCGGGTAAGCATAGCAAATTCTGAGTGGACAAGCAATACAACAAATACTATCGTGTACATGTAGGAATAAATACGGCCTACGTTAAACCTTGCGCGGACAATGCCTTCATTGCTAAAAAATGTGAAATGATACCCATCGAGTGGGTCACCAGACGTTTGGCTACTGGTTCGTTTTTGAAACGTAATACCGGTGTGCCGGAAGGGTACAGGTAAGTTTGGTAAATGTATAGTTTAGGTCTTCCATGGCGGAGGAGGCCGCGAAAATTATACTTTTTTTTTTTTAAATCGTCTTATTTTGACGCGGAGAGTAAAAAAATCGTGAACGGAAAGTAAATTTTTTCAGTAAATGTATAGTTAAAGTCCCCCAATTATAGAGAAACCAAAAAGGATTTTTTTTTTTTTAACTCGTCCTATTTTACGCTAATATTACAAATCCGGGAGCGGGAAGTGCATTTTTTCAATAATTATATAAATTTTTTTTAATGTTTTTTATAAATATGCATTAAAAATAAAAAATTGTGATACATTTAAATTAATTATTTTATTTTTTCCGCTGCTGCCAGGGTTATTTTTTTGAAGCGCGACCAACTGCCAGCAAGAAAGGAGTTCAATGATATTCGTCCATACCATCAGATCGCGGTGCAAAAGAAATTGGGACTGTTACATTTCTTCAGTTCGCTGAACTGGTAATTACAGCTAAGTGATCTGAATTCTAAGGAATTTTGCAGTTACAACAGCAACAAAGTGACTTGGAAAAATATTATATGTGAAAAGTGCGTTAAATATATACATACATACATAAATTATAAAAAAAAATCACTTTCCGCTCACGGATTCGTAATCTTCGCGTAAAAATAAGACAATTTATAAAAAAATATAATTTTTGAGGCCTCCTTAGTTGGGGGACCTAAACTATACATTTATCATTTTTTCAATAATTTATGTATAGTTTTATATAAAAATATATTTAACACACTTTGCACATATTTTTCAAGTAACTTAGTTGTTTCTGTGCTGTTTAGATCACTTAGCTGTAATTACACGTTCAACAAGTTAGACATTTTCTTGTGCAAAAAAAATGCTGAAGAAATGTAAGACAGTTTCTTTTACATTGCGGTCTGAGGGTATGGACGAATAGAGGAGATCGTTGAACTCCTTTCGGTACTGGCGGCCTTGGGCCGCGCTTCAAAAAAATAACCCTGGCCGGTCCAAAACCGAGGTGTTCATAGTTCTTTTGCGTGCTGAATGGAGTTCGATGCAAAAGAATTATGGACACCCCGGTGTTGGATCTACCAGGGTTAATTTTTATGAAGTGCGGGCGAAGATAACTAGTGCGGAAAGGAGTTTGACGCGAATGGATTATGAACACCACGATTTTGGACCGACCAGGGTTACTTGTGTTTTTGAAGAAAAGAGTTTGATGCGAATAAATTATGAACACCCCGGTTTTGGACCGACCAGGGATATTTTTTTAAGCGCGGCCGAAGTACATAAAGAAGTTACTACGCGAATGAAAAAATAAATAGATTTATTGAATAAATGAAAAAAAAAAAAATTTTTCGAGGCCTCCTTCGTTGGGGGACCTAAACTATACATATACCGTAAGTTTTCACAAAAAGTAATTGTATATACGTGGAAGTAAGAAAAAACATTAACTTAGCTACACCGATGCTATAATATACATATGCATTTTATTTAAGCATAAAAGGGTATATAAAGATATTTATCTTGATTTTGACTGATCAGTTTATATGGCAGCAATAAACTATAGTGATTCGATCTGAACAAATTCTTCGGAGATTTTACGATTGCCTTGGATAATAGTCCATGCCATGAAGATACCTAGCTTGTTAAATAAAAAAGAATCCCATACAAGAACTTAATTTTCATCATTCAGCTTGTATGGCAGCTATATGCTATAGGTCTCCGATCTGAACAATTTCTTCAGAGATTATACCACTGCCTTGGATTATAATCCGAGTCAAATTTTGTCAAGATATTTTTGGTCAAATAAAAAAGTTTTTCCCACAAGGACTTGCGTTTGATCGATAGCTATTTGTTGTATTGTTTGTATGATATACACATAGCCAATAAAGTCTGCGTTCATCCGACACTATTTTTTAAGTGAAGTAAAAACACAATGTAAATAGGTAATTCAGTTCAAATTTTCTACATGTATTTCTTTTTAATTTTATGTTCAAAATGCCGAAACAAAAATGTATATTCCTATTTTCATTTTTGTGATAACGGGATTTTAGTGTAAGGAGAAGTAAACATAAGCACCATTAAGTCTGCGTTCAGCTTTAAAATTAGTTACAAAAGTATTAAAAATGATAAAGAAAAAATAAATTCAATATTTTGTTGGATAGGCGCGTTGTTTTAAAACCTCGCTCAATCGATTTACTTATTATTGTATGCTGACGAATTCTTTTTTCTAACAGATGCCATATTTGCTCAATAGGATTGAGGTCAGGTGATTGAGGGGGCGTTTTAAGTTGTCTAGAAGCATTGTACAAGAGCCAAAGTCTAACTATTTCCGCAGTATGCTTAGGGTCATTATCTTGTTGGAACCAAAACGTCGAAGATAATCCAAGATTCTCTGCACTTTGTTTCAAATTGTTTTTAAAATGTTCAAATAACTCTATTTATCCATGCAACCCCACACCATAATTCCGCCACCTCCGTGTTTAACTGTACCAAAAAGATTTTGCTTTTCAAGAGCAGTTCCTTACTTGCGCCACACAATTTGTCGACCTTTTATGCCAAAAATGCAAAATTTACTTTCATCCGAAAATATTACTTGCCTCCAGAATTCCGGCGACTTATTTATATAATTATGAGCAAAATTCAATGCGCTTACGCCTGTTTACAAGTGAAATATATGGTTTCTTTCGAGCGACTCTACCACGATATCCAGCTTTTCGTAAAATTTTTCTAGCAGTTTCGGCACAAATTGTTTTTTTAATGGTTATATTTACGTTTTCAATAATATTTGTGGACGTAATTCGAGGGTTAACTTTCACCATATTTATTATTTTCCGTTTTTCCCGGGCTGATAATATTTTCGGATGGCCAGATCGCGGTTTGGACGTTAAAATTCCGGGTTTCTTTTAAATTGTTTACGACGCGCTGGACAGAAGAATACGTTCTTCCAATAGTTCGCCCAATTTTTCTGAAACTTTCGCCGTCGTTCCACACCTTAATGATTGTTTAAATGAGTTTAAACTCCCTCCTCCAAGTGCACCACTCTACTCGGGAAAAACTGACACGCCTAGTAAGGAATCACCATACTTGCAATGTGATACAGTGAAGCACCCAGACTTACAAAAAGCAAAGGTCGCACTTATCGCATCTATCTAAGCGCTCATCATACGGGTAGTTTATGGGAAACACTTGTAAAAGTTGAAAATCTCACTTCAAAAAAGTGAGCGAAAATCACAAATCTCACTCTCGCAAGATCCCTCTTCAAAGGTTTCAAAGGAGGACCCATTTTGGCCATATCTGAGTCAGGCGTGGAGTCGCTAACCGTAATAAACCGATGGTAAAAAAATTTTAAACAAACAATACAGATAATAAAATTATAAAAGAAACAACCGCAATACAATAAGTATGAAAAGCACATACAACCTCAAAACCCGCAAAATTAAGTTACATATCTTTTGCACGCACAGCAAAATGCATACCGAATATGCCTTCTGCCCATACAGGTAAATATGGATATAACTTAATCACCATGTATGCCGCGCCCTCGGCTACTCAACCAGCAGTACGCCGAAATACATGCAATATAAGCATTTACGTGTAATACTAGGCAAAATATTCGCCTAGGGGGCCCAGGATGTTTAAATGAGTTTAAACTCCCTCCTCCAAGTGCACCACTCTACTCGGGAAAAACTGACACGCCTTAATGAAACACACCACACCTGTGAACACTCAAGGAATTTCACCCCACACCAGATGACACCACACAGGACAACACAACATACCATTTCTCATTCGCTTATCGTCTACGGGCCTGAGCGCCATCAACTTTCCCTTTTTTTCATCGACTCGCTAGCGATCAGTTCTTTGAGCACCCGCCTAAATCGACTCTCTTTCTTTTTTAATTATTATTTGCTAACGGTGAGTGATGGTAAAATTAACTTATTAGTTACTTAAAAAATGATAATTTTTCTTTCCGACAGACTAATTTCTTTTTCTTTGGTTTCCATTTTTTTAAATATTAAAACGCGTCACGAGCTCTTTAAACGACTTATTATATTAAAACACAATAGAATCTACGCAAAAAGAACGAACAAATTCATGAGAAGTAACGGTATTTCCAATTCAAGCTAACTGAACACAGACTTAATGATACCTATGTTTACTTGTTCTTACACTAAAATACCGTTATCACAAAAATGAAAATAGGAATATAAATTTTTGTTTTTGCATTTTGAATGTAAATTTGAATATCAGGAAGAAATACAAGGAGCGTTCCAAAGTAAACAGGACTTTAAAAAAAAAGACAGAACAAATGGTTTAATCGACAAATTCAATTCATTTTATTCAAAATAGTCTCCTGCTTTAATACAGCTTTTTGCACGGCCCAAAAGCATGTCGAACGAGTGTTTTAGCTCGTTGCCCGGTATGGCCGCCAGTATGCCGGTGCAAGCCTTTTGAATGGCCTCCACGTCTACATAATTAATTTTTAATATATAATACTACATTTTTGGTCAAATAATCGCCAACTTCCATCTTGGCGATATTCGGGCCGAACACGTCGAATACGGCGCACTAAACACTTCAAAACTCCAAGGTAGAATACCGCATTAACGTTTTGGCCGGGTGGAACAAATTCTTTGTGGACAATACCCTTGAAATCATAAAAACAAATCAGCATTGTCTTCACTTTTGACTTCGACAGGCACGATTTTATGGTTTTCGGCTCATCGTCATTTATGCCCTCACGACCACTTTGAAAACGTTGAAACCCCTCGTGCACTCTGCTACGGATAGGCAATCATCGCCATAAACTTGTTTCATCAATTGTTTCGGTAAAAGTTTTACCAATTTTAAAACAAAATTTAATGTTGTCTCTTTGTTCGAAGCTCATTTTAGAACCGATGACAAAAACATACTGACACTTAAAACGCAATAACTTCACTTCCAATAGATGAAATGTCATGAAATTTTTACTGGAAGTCGATAAAGGATAGCAGATTCTAACGCACTAGTCGACATATAGATGGCGCCACTAGAGTTTACTTTGTTACTTTTTTACTGTTTACTTTGGAAGGCACCTTGTACATGCAGAAAATTTGAACTGAATTACATATTTACATTGTGTTTCTACAATACTTCACCTAAAAAAATGTGTCGGGTGAAAGTAGACTTTATTGGCTATGTGTATATGCTATAATGATCCGATATAGGCGATTCGGACAAATGAGCAGCTTCTTAGGGAGAAAAGAAAGTGCAAAATTTCAGATTCATATTTCAAAGACTGAGGAACTAATTCGCGTATATACGGACGTACATGGCCAAATTGACTGAATTCATCACTCTGATCATTTATATATATATACGTTTTCTTCTAGGTGTTACAAACTTCGTGGCAACTTTAATATATCCTATTCAGAGTATAACAAATAAAATAATTTATGTTGACTCGTTTGGTAATTGTATATACCATTCTTAAGTATAAGTAGGTATAAGTACATATATGCTTATATTTAAATTTACAAGTAAGTATATTATGACGAAAGTTTTCCATTTAATTTTTCCAAACCAAACGACATATTATAATATTTCCAAACATTCAACTCATTACAAAAGTATTAAATAACTTTTGTCTTAAAAATCATAAAAAGGGACAGTTTCAACTCATTTTTTTTATCGCCCATCGTGTCAACCATGTACCTTGTAAAACGATCTAGACTAAACAAATATAATTTTAAATTTAAATGTTTAGAAATTCGTTACGTTGGTTATTGATGGTAGTAATAAGAATTTTCAATCACGCAATATTTTTCGTTGCCTACTGCAGTTACAGATATCATAATTTTGAACTGACAAAAGAATCACAACTCAAAAATTTCCAAATCGACTTTTTTCCATATACCAAGTCGTAATACACTTATCTACCTACCCAAGAAATTTCATAATTTTTATTACTATCTTACATAACTTGCCGTGAGGTCTACTTTTAGTTCAATCCTTTGTACTATTTCAAATATGGCACTTTTGATGAAATAATTGTGATTGTCACACTCTTAACTCAAAAATGTCTCTTAATTTCTGCGTTAAACTAGAAAATCAAAAATATTTTAGCTTTTGTTCTTTGTTTTTTTTTTGCTTCTCCCGATCATTTGGCATTTTTTGAATGGTGACGCTTTTAATACACTAAATATAGTGTGCTTTATGCACATACTTACATATTGTATGTATGCATTTACGTAGTAATTTGTATGTTGACTGCCATCGTAATCTAACTTTTTTCAACGTGAAATGACCTCAATGTGCCCATAAAATAAAAAATATAGATCTTACTTTGCTATACGTATTTAATTAAGAGAGTACTATTTCTTCACATAAATAAGCACAAAATCAAATTTTGCGATATTGTAAAAAGTTTATGTATTTTTAATTTTTTTCTTTCTCTTGGAAGATTTTCACCACCGAAACAGGAGACGTTCTTTAAGGATGATGCCAATCACGACCCCCAATGGTCTGATGAACAAATTATCTCAGCAAAATTTAGTTTTAACGGTGTTGTAATAGGTCAGTTACAAATATAACATACTTATTTTATAATAATGTGAAATAATATATTTAACTTGATCTAAAATAGGTCAAGATGAGTTGGACATTATGAAGCGAACCACTGTACTAGTGTTTGAAATTTTAGAGAAAGCGTGGGCCACCAGGAATTGTGCTCTTATTGACATGAAAGTAGAGTTTGGCATCGATACTGAGGGTATTTGATTTTGATACTTTACCAAGTCTCATTTGTTTTTGTTTCATTCACTATTTTCGTTTAATTGATTATATAGATTTGTTTTTTTCACACCTCAAATACACCGTTGTCATCTGTCTCTTTGCAGAAAACATCGTGCTTGCCGACATTATCGATTCAGACTCTTGGCGTCTCTGGCCGTCTGGCGACAAACGTTTAATGGTTGATAAGCAGGTATATCGTAATCTCGCCACTGTTACCGACAGTGATCTGGACACAGTGAAACGTAATTTTATGTGGGTTAGTGAACAACTTAAGGACATAGTGCCGGCTAAGGATCATCTAGTGGTTATTCTAATGGGTAGCGCTTCCGATATTGCTCATTGTGAGAAAATCTTCACACGTTTGCAACAATTGGGAGTAAATACTGAGATACGCGTCACCTCAGCGCACAAAGGACCAGAAGAGACCTTGCGGATTATGCGCGAATACGAAAGTGTTATTAATAATTTGGTATTTATTGCCGTAGCAGGTCGTTCTAATGGATTAGGTCCGGTCTTATCTGGCAGCACCACATACCCAGTGATTAATTGTCCACCCTTAAAAGGAGAGAATCTTCAAGTTGATGTTTGGTCAAGTTTAAATGTACCTTCTGGCCTTGGCTGTCCGACCGTGTTATATCCTGAAGCAGCTGCGCTGCATGCTGCACAAATTTTCGGTCTGTCAAATTACATAATATGGTCCAAGTTACGCGTCAAACAACTCAATAACTTTGTTACTTTAAAGAAGGCTGATAAGCTGGTGCGCGGAGTTCGAAATGCTTAGATTGTGTGTGCAGAACTGAATCATACGATACATATTTATTTTAATAAAAATGACTTTAAAGCCATACATTTTGTCGACTTATTCTATTTATATATCATAATTTCATTATTCATAAATATTTCCCTTTCTAATAGATTTTGGGGTTTTTTGTGAACAGACGCGGCGAAGCGAAATACTTAGGATAATTTCAATTCATCACCAGCGGGAATTTCAATGACCTCGTACGCAGATGACTGTACGATATTGACGTCGGGCAATGGAATCGATGGCATGTGTTTAAAAGTAAACGGCTACCTCTCCGATCTTTCTCGCTTCTTTTCTGCAAGGAACCTAACACTCTCCCCCACTAAATCCACAGCGACCATCTTCACCAATTGGACGAAGGAATACAGACTGAACCTGAACATTTCAGTCGATGGCACAAAAATTCCGACAGTAAATAACCCTAAAATTTTAGGCGTCACTTTGGACAGTCTGTGCTCTTTCACTCCTCACACGACCGCGATAACTGCCAAAGTACAGAGCCGCCAACAAAATCCTCAAGTCGTTGCCGGCAGCTCATGGGGAAAGACAAAGAAACGTTGTTGGCAACATACAAGGCAATCGGCCGGCCGGTCCTCAATTATGCAGCCGCAATATGGTCGCCTGGATGCAGTGACACGCAGAATAAGAAGCTTCAGACTTGTCAGAACACTGCACTCGACTATCACGGGATGCCTCTTGATGTCTCATCGAACACCTACATAGTGAGGCCCGTATGCTTCCGGTTAAGGAACATAACGAGCTCCTCTCCAAGCAGTTTCTGCTGGGATGTTTTCGCAGAACCACCCCTGCAGACGCCTGCTGCAGCGGAGCGCCTCCTAGGAACATCAAGAGGTCCTTCCTTGACTACGTCGACGACATCAGACAGCACGCCGACCAGACTTCGGACGCAACTAACTTCAGACAGGCACTGACCGCCATTCACAGTGGACCATTACACCTGCACCGACTCTCTCTCAGTGAATGGCGTAATACGAGTCAACCACCACCCATTGCAGACACAGAGCTCGAGTTGCCTCGCGAATCTAGAGTGACCCTCGCGCAACTTCGTTCTGGATACTGTAGCAGGTTAAACTCCTACCTATCCAGAATAGACCCTGACATACCAAACACATGTCCTGCATGCAATGAGTCCCCGCATGACACTAACACCTCTTTGCATGCCCAACAAACCCACTCATCTATCACCCTCTCCTATGTTCCGACCCCGTCGAAACAGCTCGTTTCCTGGCCTTCCGTTAGATGACCTCGACGACAACGAATCTAGAATTTATCACCCAAACGGGGATTAGATAATCGTTACAACAACAACAACTTGGATCATCCTTGATAAAAGCTTTCATGAACCAAACATTGAGGAGAGACTAAGGAGGCAACGGTTGCCTTATACTGTTGTAGAGCAGCTATTGGGAAGAGGTGGGACCTCTAACCAATACCATTTTTGGCTCTACGAAACGGTAATCAAGGTAAAAATGTTTTTGTGCTCAGGAAATCTGGGTACACGAATGAGTCCAAACAAAGACATTCTGAAATTCTTCGCATGCATCCCTGAAAACTTGGAACATTGCATCGTAGAGTCTACTCCTAGTAGCTTTTTGTCTGCTCACATACTGACGAAGTATATGTGGACTGGGCGAAGTCGCTGGAGCAGAGCGTTTTTCAAGCAAACTTGGCTACCATTAAGTGCAGGCTTTTTGAGGGACGTGCAATTATTCTGTCTTCTCTATCAATAGCATCATGCTAATCTTCTAACGTTTTGGCGCCAATACTATAGACGCCGCCCGAGTTACTCAACAGTTAGCTTCTATGTGACTGGGAGAACCTTCTGAACTGGTAAAACGCAGGACATCCACTGAACTACTTGCTCTTAGGAAGATTTATCTTGCCGAAATAAGGCGTATGTGTAATAAGGCGATAAGGAAAACATTTTATTGACCGCAAATTGACAAAGTTGTATGGAGGAAGGTGAGGGGGAAATAGGGTGCGTTCGAGATGGCAATCACGACAGCAGTGTTGCAAATTTGTCAAAGTATCACGTTCTGCGTGAATTTTTGGCAACACTTGCAACAGCATCACGTTCTGTTTTTAATAATTTTATTTAGTTTTTACCTAATATACATTCATACTTAATAGTTTATATTATATTATAATAGTAGAGATTAAATTTATTACAATATATGTATGTATATACATCTTTTATCATATTAATCTTATATAGTCATATGTATGTACGTATGTATTTGAATGTACGCATTCAGAAATTCAAATCATGATTTTATCACTTATGAATACACTATATGTGCGCGCATTGATTTATATGTACACGCATATATGTATGTATACATAAAATTGCCGAACAAATAATGCATACACAAACCAACATACATACATATGTATATGCGTACACATGTTAATATGTCACCCGCAAAAACTACAAACATTGTTCTACAAAAACAACAATCGTCACAAGTCAATATGTCAGCCAAATAGGCGAAGCCCAAATTTATAGTAAATTACACAACAACAACATTTTCATTCATGAACGCAGGCGTACTTTTAAAAAGCAACCTCGCTTCATTCATAAAAACATACCCTCACATCCCCCCGAGCATGCTTTTGCCAGAGAACGTATATCATAGAGAAGGTTCAATTGCGGACCAGCGTGTGAATTGTCAAAACCTAACAAGATTTTATTAGTGAATTTCACCAAATCTGGCTCGGAAGGAGAAATTTTAACAGAAGTGAGTGAACAGAGCCAGAGAATGTTAATGAATAGAGAAGGAGCAAATGTTAAATGAAATCTTTTGAGTACTAATTTGTAATTCAGATGAGGAACATCGAAAATATAACTTCGAAAAGAAAAATACACCACGCAATGTGCGAAATGCTATAAATAGACACAACGAATATTCCTAAATGAAAAATCGTTGCGCATACCTATTTAGATTTATGTTTTCAATTTCTATGATATGACAAATTTATAATTATGAAAAGCCTTCTGAATTAAAAATCTGTATTACCGGTAAAAACCCAGAATTCATAATAAAATAAACATTTAATAGGCATTTTTCGAACTTATATATGTGCGTTGAGTAAGTAATTGCTTCTTGAACAAAAGATAACAATAAACAGTGGCTAGCGGCCGCGTTTCCATTTATATAGTGGCTTAGGTCGTAGACGTGAAGGGTTAGGCTCAATCCGTATACGAGCATATAATTTCGAATCTTAAAACCCATGTAAATTAAATTTTATTTAATTTTTTTATTTTATAATGAGTTTAAGCATATCATAATTCAATTTCTTTAACAGCATATTTTTTCTGATATAATTAAAATATATCAGGAAAATATGTTCATATGTTTAGGTTTATTGAATATTTCCTTATGATGCGTATTTACACAAAAGTGATAATCCACATACATTCTTAAATACACGTACGCTGATGCTTGCTTCTTCTTGCCCGCACAAACAATGACTTTTGTCCACACTTTTTGTTTTTGGGAGAAGCAAGTTGAACGCATATAACGCGAGTTCGCGCGGGCATTGTGTTGTTGAAAAACCAAATGACGATTTTGTCGACAAACATACATACATATATACAATGAGCTCGCATACATATTGACGCCGAATTTTGCGCATCGTGGCGGAGTTGACAAAATTTGTTTCAAGGGACAATTTTACACAATGACGGTCGTCATTTTTGTCTCGTTTGTCCTTTTGCAGGGCTTTGCTGTTGAAAATTGATTATGCTCTTTTGAAATGCTACGATTAACGATTGGTCTGCATTTTCATAACGTCGTTTGTAGATAAAATGGGCTAAATCGACAAACTAGGAAATAATGATAATAAGTAAACATATAAAAGTACTATATGGACTGTGCTTAGAATATATAGAAGTAGTTAAAGATTTCTTATGAATGGCAATTTTATATAAATTTTATAATTTAATGCCATATATAGTGCATAATATGCAAAAATATAAATATTATTTTAACTCGCTAAGAGGTCATGTTGCCAATTCTCCTTTCTGAAGGGAACAGCAGACAAATTCTTCAATTTCTGATTTTTAGAAAATGTTGTGAGGAAGCAGCTTGTGGGCAACATACAAACGCGAGGGGGATGGTAGGATTTTCAGTGATACAAATTGTAAAATTGAAATTTTGCTGATTCTCCAATTTTACTGAAGATTCAAATTCAATTTCATTTCATTCATATATTCGCGCATTTGCGGTAGGAATTTTATATGAAAACCAAATGTGGTTTACCAGGCGCACAGAAAAAATAGCGCGGCGCAGAGTTATGAACGAGCGCACTTTGCTTTGAGCAGACGCACGTCCTTATGAATGAATTTGTTGTCGTTGTAATATGAAATACTTAGAAAATAAGCCGCGAGTTCGCTTGAATATTATGGTCGATGATGGTGCGTCTACGTTTTTGTCACTGGCGCGAATGTTTGATTTTTGCGAAAGACATATTGAGGTACATACATATGTACATATTGTACATATATGCAAATAGTTTGGGCATGCGAATGAAGAGGCAATTTCAAGAATATTCACATATAGACATATGAACATTGAAGCAAGTAAACAAATAGCTGTTTGAGTTCACAGATTAGACAAATTACTTGAATATCGTCTGTGTGCTGCTTGTATAGCACACTTCTTTATGGCAATGTAAAATATTTTGCTAAGTTCATATCCTATCACATATTTTATATACTCTTTTTATTTTATAACTCTTTTTATTAAATGATATTTTAATTCTATTTTATTTATTTCCCTCATTATTTATATTTTCTTGCCAGAAGTCAATTTCGTTCGTTTTATATTTAAGTTTTTGTTTATGCGCATACCAAAGAACATCTGTGCATATAGATATATGTATATACATTTGCTTATAGAGTGGTGAGTTCATTTCGTACCCTGATAGTTGTGGGAAATTTTATTTCGAACTTGCGCGTTTTCGATGTTCCTTTATCGTAAATAACCTTTTAAACAGCTAACATTTGCTCCTTCTTCATT